TTGTACTCTGACGTTGCCACGGACGTCACACATGCTTACATCATTGTTATGAGACACTTACAAACAAACACAAACTGCATTGCTAAACTGTAAAAGTAACGCAGCGTGCTTACAGAAAAGTAACAGTAATCTACTTTTTTGCAATAGTAATCCCTTACGTTATTTGTTACTTTAAAAAGTAATCGGATTACAGTAACGCGTTACTGCCCATCTCTGGCCATAATTGTGTCCAGTTCAAAGGTAAAGTCTGGACTTCATATCTTAAACTACACCCAGCCTTAGCTCACTATCTTGGTAGCAGCCTCTTTTCTTGGTGTGTGTGTGTGTGTGTGTGTGTGTAAACAGACTTCGCCTCCAAGTGAAACTATGCCAACATCATCACTGCTGTTGTGTATTTTTAAGCTGCTTCCTGTTGGCTTCAGCTGTTTGGCGTTTCCATTTTCTAAACTTCTACATTCTGAACTTTCTTCAGCTCTGTACAGATTTTGAAACACTGAATGATTTCAAGCACACACTTTGTCTAATAAACTTACATCTTTCGTTCTTTATACAGATTGTGGGACTGTGGTTTGTCAGAGATCAGCTGTGATTATCTGGCAGCAGCACTGAAGTCCAACCCCTCCCACCTGAGAGAACTGGACCTGAGCCTGAACAACCTGCAGGATTCAGGAGTGAAGCAGCTGTGTTGTTTTCTGGAGAGTCCAGGATGTGGACTTGTAACTCTGAGGTCAGTCTCCATGTTTTAGTTGTGCTGAGATGAATATGATGTGAAAGTTGTGCTGACACTTGGTAGGTAGTCAGATGCTTTCAGGTGAGCCGGAGGCTGAGATATTTACTGATGACATCACACTGAGTGTTGGTGAATATGATGTTTACTTGTGAATGATTTCCAGCTTTGACTGTAGTGATTCCAGCAATAAGAAGTATTTGGACTGACAGACACATGTGGACAGCTTTTGCTCTGAGGGTGTAGACAGAGTCTGCCTCTGTGTGTACTAACTGTGTTCAAAGTGTCTGTAGCTGCCCACTTGGAATTACCACTCATAACGCAGAGAGCTTCGACTGATGCAACTTTATTCTCTCCTCTTTAAACCACTGACAATATGGCACCATGAAAACTATAAAGATGCACAAACAAATGCAATAATAGCATTTAAGTGGAAAGTGCAGAAATGTTCACATTTTACTATATAGAAAATTATTTTGATGAACTCAAATCGTGACATTGACATAAATCAACAGCTTTTAAAAATTTATGTTACAGCATTTAATAAAATGAATTAACGACAACATTTCTGTCTCTTAAATACATAAACAATCATTTGCAATCATTAAACCAATCTCTTTCTGCTTCCAAGGGTGCTAATCATGCTGACCCTGCTAGCAACCTCCTCCATGAGCATCTCCTAGCTAGTCATTCCACACCACAAACAAATGACATGCATATACAAAAAAACCTGAATTCAACTATATTGTGTAAACTTTCCAAAGTTTTAGCATGTGACAGGTAAATAAAATACATAATTCTGCATCAGTATTTTTTAAAAAAATAAAGTTTTTCACTCACTCTGAAGCAACATGTTTGTGTTGTTTCACTGAGAACAGAACAGGAAGTCTCACACAATAAAAGAGGAAGTGCTATGGTACTCTTTCAAAATAAAAGTGTAAAAGTAAAGTGGCTTTGCCGGCATTACAGTGTCAGCTAATCACAGCTTCATGTTTTCATTTAGTGACACCATGAACACACAGTTGAAAATGTTCAGCTGACAGGACTGTTTTTTAATCCACACTTTGAAATTGGTTCCAGTTATTTCCTCCTCTCTTACAGGGAGCTCACCCCAACAGTTTAACATACAAGCATTTATTTTCAAAGCAGTTTATTAGAAACACATTTAAATTTCTAATTTTTAATATTCCAGCAAGCATAAGTAAGCCTGCAGTCTGAAAGTGCAGTGCTCTGTGAGCAGAATAAGGTGTTAATAAAAAGAATCAGCTCACATTAGATAATAAGGTATGTTCCAGGAAGTAGAGCATGCTCAGTTTTAGTTATGGAGCCCGATACTTCGATTCACCATGGCAACAGGTAAATAAAGAGCAGAGGCTCGGTGTGAATCCAGAGGAGCAGGAATATAAAGACGCACCAGTGCTGACCGTGACATAAAAACAGGAAGGAAGAAGAGTTTGAATCAGTGTGGGTCACTCTGTCATCATCACAGACTTAATAAAGTTTATACAAAATCCATCATTTATTCTAATGTCAATGCTCCTCGTCGAGCAGTTTGAAATTTGATTAGATGAATCCTAACTTTACATTTTGATTTGAAATCTAATGATTCAGCTGTAACCTGATTACATTTCATCATGAGATGTAATATGTTGGGTTTAAGTCACCCCTGCTGGTAAACAGAAACTGTTACTGAAAGCAACCACACAGACACCACAATAGTTTTACTTGCAAGGGGAGCGTCGGAGGGCAGTGCTGCCACTCGCCTGTCCAAGCAACTCAAACTCCTCTGCGTCCGCCTCACTCTTTATTGACAACAGAGGTCACACACAATTCAGTTAACCACGTGACAGTTTTAAGCAGGCATGTGTGTGTGAGCAAAGTATACGCCTGTGTGTGTGTGTGTGTGTGTGTGTGTGTCTTTGTCTTTTCCTGACACCATACGAGGCATGATATCAGTCACTCCAGTCGCCCTCATACAGAGTGTGACCTTTCACAAACTAACGTGCGTCATGCCGAAACAGCAGAAGTGAGTGTCTCGCTAAACTATAAAAACGGGAACTTGCCTAAGGTCATAGAAGTGTGAAATCTAAATGTGTAATGGGGATGCTTTGCACATGTCTGTGCAAAGCTGAAAATACAGCTCCTAATTATCCATCTCTTTCTGCACAATGACAACCATATTAGGACACATAAAAGCAATGGTCACATGACTTTGTGGTAATGACAATCTTAAAATAATTAACTCTAATATAATCAGATTACAATCAGAGTGTCTGCAGCTGCTTTGAAAAAGATTGACTTCAGTTTTAGTCTTAAAGTAATTTCAGCCTCATCTTCACTCAGATATTTACATCATCTCCAAAATCCACCTGTGACATACATGTTTTCATCAGTGTGATTGATTCTAATCAAACAATTATGGATCACTGATCACTGTGCAACACAGTAAAGGTTTACAGTGCAGGAAACTTCCAATCTGACAGCAACACTGACCACAAAGTCTCAGAGTTAGAAAGATGGAGATCAAAGATTTTATCCGGAGCTGATGGTAAATCTGTACTGCCATTGCCGTCCCCATCCTGATATGTTGATCACTGATTGGCTGTAAAAGCTTCATGTTTAGCAAACTAATGTTTAACTGGGATTTCCGCTTTTGTAACAAAGTACAGTGGTCCTTCGTTTATCGCAGGAGTTACGTTCTAAAAATAACCCACCATAGGTGAAATCTGCAAAGTAGCCAACTTTATTTTTCACAATTATTACAGATAGAAAAATAAGTTGAGTATTCTAGAATTAAACCAAAGATCAAGGCCTCTTTTCAGGTCCAGAACATTAGAATAGAGCAGAATTCTACATGAATGAATCAATGGTACAGAAGTAGAGGAAGCAAGAAGAATGAGTTGAGTAAAGTTCAACTTATATGACTGTTTTGTTTCACTTAGTGCGCCTTATAATCCGGTGTGCCTTATGGTAAAATATGGTAACTTCTGTGTTCCTTTAGCATGTCCAGAAGTCGGACTTTTGGTGTGGTGGTTAGCATCTTCCTCTGCTTTTTGGGTGTTATCTCAGGTGCCTTTCATGGTGCAAAACGTTTTGTCGACATTGTTATGTTTGTTGGGGAGAAAACTTACAAACATACAGTACAGCACTTCAGAGTCACACTGTAGCGATCGAACATTTATGTAAATTTGACAAGCTGAACACATTCAATACTGGACAGGAGACACGGCACAGAAGAGATTGATTGACAATGCTCTACAGCAAATCAGGATGCAGAACACAATGTGCTGTGTTTATTTGGGGGGGAAAAAGCATGCAAAGTTGCACAAAAAAAATTGTGCGAAACAGCGAGGCTGCAAAAAGTGGACCACAATATGGCGAGGGACTACTGTGCACTTGTGGAGATGAACTCTCTCCTCTGAGCATTGACTTTATGAATGTGGAAATAACTCAGTGTCAGTCAGCTGTAGATCAGTGTACAAGCTTAGCCATGTAAGAAAGAACAGCTAACAGATGTGTGCTCCTCACATCTGTATGAATCATGATCATGTGTTTGAATGAATCTGTGACTGAACTGTAATAGTGTTAAAAAATAAATGTGATGAGGAAATGAATGAAAACAAAGTGTGATTAATGATGAAGAATGAGAAGAAGAAGCTGAAATCAGGTCATGATGGTGATGATGTCATGCTGCTAATGTTTCTCAGAACGTGCTGTACATGTTGCATTTACAGTAAAGAAACGGGAAATCATTGTGGAGCTGGGCACAAGGATTTCTGATGATCAACAATAATCTGATATGTGTTGATGTAGAAGTGAGTGAATCGTGTTCTGACTCTAATCATTCGAAAATGCTGCAGTTGTACAAGTTCCACTGATCCCAGAGGAAACTGGTATATGTTGAACAATAATATGATGGAGTTTCTTTAGGGCCACTTGGTTTGATTGTTCAATCCAACAGGCTCCAAAAGCCTTCTGCTCATTTCCTCGCTGGGTTCTTGATGGTCTTGTACCATCTCCCTGTCGTCCTCCTGGCTCCCTCTTTGCAATCACATGTGGAAAACCAAAGTTTTAGTGAACAGAAGATGATCATCAGTAACGCTGTCTTTAAAACACTCTTGTTAGAAATATACAATTTTAATGTGGAAAAATTATGAGTTTTTTTCTCTTGTGTTTGTTTGAAGCTGCTTCCTGTTGGCTTCAGCTGTTTGGAGTTTCTACATTCTGAACTTTCTTCAGCTCTGAAAAGATTATGACAAACTGAATGATTTCAAGCACACACTTTGTCTAATAAACTTACATCTTTCATTCTTTATACAGATTGAAGAGCTGTGGTTTGTCAGAGATCAGCTGTGATTATCTGGCAGCAGCACTGACATCCAACCCCTCCCATCTGAGAGAGCTCAACCTGAGTGACAATGAAAAGCTGCAGGATTCAGGAGTGAAGCAGCTGTGTTGTTTTCTGGAGAGTCCAGGATGTGAACTTGAAACTCTGAGGTCAGGCACCATGTTTTAGTTGTGCTGAGATGAATATGATGTGAAAGTTTTGCTGACACTAAACTGCAGACATAAAGCTGATATTATACTGATCCACACAGAGGATCTTCATGGTAAAGTCTGTTTTCTTCTTCTCTGGTTTAGTTCATTGATTGTAGTAGAACGATTTTCACATTTCAAACAGTGATACTCAACATGTGGCCCGCGGTCCACACGCGGCCTGGCGACCTTTCCTAATTCAGAGAGAGGGGACCCTGGTTAACTGTGTAACATTATTCAAGGTATCAGACACAACAATGAATAATCCACAGCTGACTCTCTTTATTAGGTCAAAGGTTACGGCACACCGCAATCTGTGAAACAGAAACCGTTTGGAGCAGGAATTATTGCACATTTACAAACTGACACTGCTGCACCGCATGCTAGGTAATGGTAACTGGTCAGGTATGGGTGTGTTAACGGCCGTGAGAGCCTCCGTGGCTGCAGAACACTGAAGAAGAGAAAAGAGAGATGGAGGAGGAAGAAAAGAGACGGAGATTAAGCAGAAGTTTAGCTCAAGAGAAGAGCTGTGTCTTTGTGGGTGGGGCTCAGGCAGCTCCGCCCACACAGTGACAGTGAAGCAGGTGAAGAGTAATAAATAAAGACTTTAACAGCAGACAGGATTTCATAAGCTGATGTACAAACATGTAGAATGATGTACCTGCCTGTTTTGTGTCAGGTACAAAAACAGGTCCATAAAGACTGAAGCGTGTCACCATTCCTTTCCATATTCCTTAAATTCTACTGAGAGTTTCCAGAAGAGCAAACATCAAACATGCCTCCAAAAACGTGATGAGTCAGACTGACATAATTTCTACAGATAAAAATGTGAGCTCTCAGCAGGTCACTTCAATAAGAAGGACAAACAGTGCAGCAGGAATGACTATACCCACTAACATTCTGATATCCTGTGTTCCTGTTGTTCTACAGCATCATCATTAATGCTGCTCCGTCACTATCACTGCAGCTGACCAATCAGCTTTTGTGACGTCATGTGATGCTCTGTGACTCAGCCTGGAGAAATGCTAAATGGCTAACCTGAGAAACAGTCAAAGTACTGATGAATTCTGCAAATACTGCATGTTCAGTATGAGACGAGTTTGGTGGTACTGTGTGTGCACAGATGGACTCCACGGGAGATCTCCTTTATGAAGAAACTCTGAAAGCTTGTCCAACAGTGGGAAACATTTCAGAGAATATCTGTGAAGCAGAAGCTAAACATAATAATAGAAGAAAAGCAAAATAATGATCAAAATCCTGCTCTGAGCCATCATTTAAACATCACTATCAGACAGTAAAGGCTTCCAAAGACTGCTCACCTCTCAGACTCATTTAAAGATGCTTGTGCTGTCTACAGATCAGCTGACCTGGTGGGTCTCCGAGAACAACTTTGTTTCTTGGAGATAAAGGCTGAGCCCTTTAGAGCTTCATTTTTTTTTTTTAACTGAACAGAAGATGATCATCAGTAACACTGTCTTTAAAATACTCTTGTTAGAAATGTACGACTTTAATGTGGAAAAATTATGGTCTTTTCTCTTGCTGTGTTTGTTTGAAGCTGCTTCCTGTTGGCTTCAGCTGTTTGGAGTTTCTATTTTCTAAACTTCTACTTTCTGAACTTTCTTCAGCTGTGAACAGATGATGTAACACTGAATAATTTCAAGCTCACACTTTTTCTAATAAACTCACATCTTTCATTGTTTATACAGATTGAAGAGCTGTGGTTTGTCAGAGATCAGCTGTGATTATCTGGGAGCAGCACTGAAGTCCAACCCCTCCAATCTGAGAGAGCTGAACCTGAGCCTGAACAACTTGCAGGACACAGGAGTGAAGCAGCTGTGTTGTTTTCTGGAGAGTCCAGGATGTGAACTTCAAACTCTGAGGTCAGGCACCATGTTTTAGTTGTGCTAAGATGAATATGATGTGAAAGGTTTGCTGACACTAAACTGCAGACATAAGGCTGATAATATACTGATCCACACTGAGAATCTTCATGGTAAACTCTCTTTTATTCTTCTTTGGTTTAGTCCATTGACTGTAGTAGAACAATGTTCACATTTCAAACAGTGATACTCAACACGTGGCCCACAGTACATACACGACCTGCTGACTTTTCCTAATTCAGAGAGAGGGGATCCTCATTAACTGTGTAGCATTTTTCCTCATGGTTCTAAGTATCAGACACAACAATAAATAATCCACAGCTGATTCTCTTTAGTGGGTCAAAGGTCACAGCACACCACAATCTGTGAAACAAACTGTTTTGAACAGGAATTATTGCACATTTACAAACTGACACAGCTGCATGGCATGCTGGGTAATGGTGACTGGTCAGGTAGCCAGATGCTTTCAAGTGAGCTGGAGGCTGAGATATTTACTGATGGCATCACACTGAGTGTTGGTGAATATGAAGTTTACTTGTGATTTGTTGATTTGAAATCTAATGATTCAGTTGTAATATGGTTACATTTCATCATGAAATGTAACCATATTACAATCAGAGCGTTACCAGGGCAGCTACCTTGAAAATGTTTGAGTTCAGTTTAAGTCTTAAAGTCATTTCAGCCTCATCTTCACTCAGATATTTACATCATCATCTCCAAGATCAACCTGTGACACACACGTTTCCATCAGTGTGATTGATTTGATCAGTGTGCAACTGTTTGCAGTGCAGGAAACTTCCAATTTGACCGCAACACTGTCCACAGAGTCTGAGTTACAAAGATGGAGATCATAGATTTTATCCTGAGCTGATGGTAAATCTGTAATGCTATAGCCGTCCCCATCCTAATATAATAATCACTGATTGGCTTTAAAAGCTTCATGTTTAGCAAACTAATATTTAACTGTAATTTAGGCTTTTGCAACAAAGTACACTTGTGTAGATGAACTCTCTCCTCTGAGCATTGATTTTATGAATGAGGAAATAACTCAGTGTCAGTCAGCTGTAGATCAGTGTACAAGCTTACCCATGTAAGAAAGAACAGCTAACAGATGTGTGCTCCTCACATCTGTATGAATCATGATCATGTGTTTGAGGGAATCTGTGGCTGAACTGTAATAGTGTTAAAAAATAAATGTGATGAGAAAATGAATGAAAACAAAGTGTGATTAATGATGAAGAATGAGAAGAAGAAGCTGAGACTCACCTGTCATGCTGCTAATGTTTCTCAGGACCTGCTGTACATGTTGCATTTCCAGTAAAGAAACGGGAAATCATTGTGGAGCTGGGCACAAGGATTTCTGATAATCAACAATAATCTAATGTACTTTGATCACAACCATGTCTAAATATGTGTTGATGTAGAAGTGAGTAAATCATGTTCTGACTTTAGACTCTAATCATTTGAAAATGCTGCAGTTGTACCAGTTCCAGTGATCCCAGAGGAACCCTGGGACATGTTGAACAATAATATGATGGAGTTTCTTCATAACCACTTGGTTTGATAATTGTGCAAAATATACAAATATGACTGCCTTTAAACCTCAGGCTTTTCCTGTTGATCAAAGTCCAATACTGAGTTTGTAAAACATGTTTGTCAATCACTTGGGTTGATTTATGAGTAAAATGATTCAATAACTTCCTTCTAATAGACAACATTTTATCATATTTCCTCGTAACCCTCTTTTGTCTGACCATTTGAATTACATTTGAATTTCCAATAAAGGACCCCACAGAGTTCGGTGAAAATAATGACTGTAGATGTTTCTGTGAAAGTGCTGGAAGTAAATTTGTGTGTGATGTTCTTTCATTGTTGCACTTTGTAGACGGTCCCTGAGCACTGGTCTCACAGCCAGCTGCACATAGAGACCAGTGTTGTTAGCCCAGGTCAGAAGATGACATGTTGGAATGAAAATGAAATGAGCTTTTAGTTTGTCTACTTTAATAATGTGATTGGAAAAAGGTGTTGTTGGACTTCAAATATGTCAATTTCTATCCAACTACACCTTTCAAAGTGAAGCAATGTGGTTCCTTTGATGAAAAGCACAACTTTTTCATGTATTTTTTAGAGGTGGGAATCACCATACAACTCACGATACGATATTATCACAATACTTAACGCACGATATGATATTATTGCAATTTTTTTTAAAATATTTTGCGATATTCAAATTCTGTACATAAAGGTAAACTTTATTAATATTCATTTTATCTAATATCAAAGTCTCACACTCAGTCTTTCTCTAATTTCAGTCAGTTTTATTGTTGACAAACTGAACGGTTTGTATTACAGTCTAGTCCAACTTAACTGAATACAACCATCTGGTACAATTATAGCTATTCTGAACTATGCAATTTATGAAAACTATGCAGCCC